CGGATGGCACATGCAGGTAGACCAGCCAGGAGGGAGTTGCAGTAGTCTAGGCGTGAGATGACGAGAGCCTGGACCAGAACCTGAGTCGCTTTCTGAGTCAGCTGGGGACGTATCTTCCTGATGTTGTAAAGCGTGTATCTGATAAACATAGATAAACAGGAGTTACTCTGTGTGTGCAACTGCTGGTAGTCTCTTTGTCTCCAAAGCCTGCTACCCAGACACGAGTCTTTGTAGTCACCAGATGATCTGCAGCCGGCATGCAGAGGTGGGTGAGTTTATTTATATAGCACTTTTCAACACAAGGCAATTCAAAGTGCTTTACAAAAAATGAAAGACATTAAGAAAAGGGCATTTAAAATCAGTCATTAAAAAGAAAAGCTAATAAAATAAACATTAAAAAAAAAAGTACATGGATAAAAGTTACAGTGCAGTTTAAGATATGAATAGTTCAATTAAAAGCAGCGACAAAAGGAAAAGTCTTCAGCCTGGATTTAAAAGTAGTCAGAGTTGCAGCGGACCTGCAGGTTTCTGGGAGTTTGTTCCAGATATTTGGAGCATAATAACTGAACGCTGCTTTACCATGTTTAGTTCTGACTCTGGGGACAGAAAGCTGACCAGTCCCTGAAGACCTGAGAGATCTGGATGGTTCATAATTTAGCAGGAGGTCAGAAATGTATTTTGGGCCTAAACCATTCAGTGCTTTATAAACCAGTAGCAATATTTTTGAAATCTATTCTTTGACACACAGGAAGCCAGTGTAAAGACTTCAGAACAGGAGTGATGTGATCCACTTTCTTAGTGTTAGTGAGGACTCGAGCAGCGGCGTTCTGAATCAGCTGCAGCTTTCTAATAGATTTTTTAGTGAGACCTGTGAAGACACTATATGCTTCCTTATCTGTATTAGCCCCACTTGACTTCTTCCACAGCCTGAAAAAACAATCCGAGTTATTCCCGTCTCCTGACAGATAACGACAATATGCTCCTTGTGCTTCCTACGATAAAAAACTTTTTTCACTGTGTGTCATATTTAACTTTCATTTGTTCTCATCATTTATTGATTAGCCTCGACACGTGAAGGGAGAGAGGGATGAAGGAGACAGGAAGGGAAGAGCATTAATTTCAGGCCGCCTGGTGTGCGCATGTGAATGTGTGTGTGTGTGTGTGTGTGCATACTTCAGAGAGAGTTTTGTGTGGTGAGTGGGTGGGTGAGTCAGGCAGTCGGCCCCGGCTCTCTGCAGTGCACTCAGCCGCTGTGCTCTCCTCTCGGCTGAGTGGAAACATCATGTGTCTGTGGGACGCCCCGAAGAACAGCCCTGCTTCCAAAACTGAGGACAGAATAGACAGTTAGAGACGGACCGCGGGAGGAAGAGGTTGGAAAATGGACTCAACCAGAAAACTGGAGTAAAAAAGGAACCACAAGAAATTTAAACTAGATCATTTAGTATATCTTTCCTACCATTTGATCTGACCACCTTCACCCTGGCTATGCCATGCTGGCCCAGAGGAACGGGCTACCTTCAGGCTGTAAGCCAGTTCCTCTGAAGGACAACCCGGACCTTCGGGATGTAGACGTGAGCGCAGAAGGATGCTGCTCCCTCTCTTCTTCCCCATCCTCTGGAGGTTGTCCCTGGGCTCGGCTGGCCGGGCTGGACGGCTGCCTGTCGGAACCGTACTGTCTTTGGTTCCAGCTTTTAGCCAGAGCCTACTGGGGAGAGGTGGAACTGGGGCTCAGCAGTCCCAACCGCAGCGTGTCCTGGGCTCGGCTCAGAGAAGCCTCCAGAAAGAACTGTGTCCGCTCTCGGGTAAGGACAGCTGTGTGTGAGAATGATGGAGAGCATCCTTGTGAGTTGACATTTTGAGGAGGTTGATTCTGCTTCAGTTTTGATGCATTTACGGACACCCTGACTTGCTGAAATATATATTGAGGGCAATACAGGAGATGTATAGGTGTAGAGAGGAAGGATTTGATAGTGGAGGCAAGGTTAGGGGCGGCTACACTTTGTTGTGCTGTCTGAGGAATTTAGTGTGCGTCATCTTGCTCTCCAGCGGCTGGGTAGTCCTGTTTCACTTACCCATCTTTTGTAATATGAGTGTGTCTGTGTGTGTGGGTTTTAGGTTTCATTTATTGTTGATAGTTCAAGACAGACAATTTGCAGTATGCTGAAAAGGAAGAGGTTTATCCTCCAGTTGTGAATACTTTAGTATTTCTTCTTCTGCTCATTCCTTTTTATAGACTTGAGCTAAGTGCATTTCAACCATTGTGCAGTGATGGCCCAGAATAAAGCACTGAAGGCATATTTTCCTATAGTATAGGGAATTACGGTGACTAATGTTAACGTCTGTGGTCAGAGAGGGAGAGAGGTTTGGAAAGAAAGTGCGCTAGGGAGGGAAAGAGGTAGATCCATGATGTCAGACAACCCGGGGGTGACTCACACACATGAAAAAGAGGAAAAAATAGTGTGGAGGAAATCTGAGTCCACAAGCAACACAATGCAAATTCACTCATCTCATGTACATAAAGAAGCAGGCATGCAAGTGCACTATCCCGCAGGCCAAAGCACCATATGGCAGCATGCAGAGCAAACCATCATCATGGAGACTGCTTTTATGAACAGACTGCATGCATAATTGATTTATCATTATCATGTGATTGTGTATGCTTGTTTGGAGCAGATTTACAGTATTGAACCTTTTGAATGACAGCCTTTTATTCAGGCACGCACTATGTAGTTTCCCTTCACACTGTGCAATGCTTCTCTTGCTGTGTTATTCAGCATATTATATTAAGAGGGATATGGAAAATGTGTGTACGCGTGTACCTGTTCCATGGGGCATCGAAGCCAAATGGCTTATAGCTATTGCATAATACGACATTCAAATGTAAGCCAGGAATCAAAACAAGCAGCTGAGTTGGACTGTCAGCTCTCTGCCTCTCCTGTGGCTGACTTCCAGCTCCACACCACTGGGTATTGGTGGTGATTTCACCAGTCATACCATTAAGCCCAAACCCATCCCACTCTCTGGAGGCCTCTACATCTGCTGCTCCCAGACAAGGTCGGGGAAAGGTGTGGATAGAGAAGCCCGAGGGGTGTTGGGGGAGAATATCTTTGTTTTGGATCCACACCTAAGATGTATTTTGGTTGGAGAAGAGCCCACGGAGGGGTTCTGGGTTGAGGCTGAAACTCTTGGCAGGCCTTCGTAGCCCCAAGTCGCTATGGTGGTGTTCCCAATAACCGCTAACACACGCCCCGTGGTGCAGTGGTTCAGCTCTGTCATTACTTTGGTGATGGATGTGACAGAAGTCTCGCTGCTCAGACAGCTCGCAGCAGCATGAGAGGTCACAGGGTTCCTCAGTGATGGCACAATATAGAGCCATAGTGATGAAGAGTTTAGAATATCTTGCTGTATCTGGGTTATCAAGTTATTCAAATAGCGTTGAAGTTCTGGATAATTACAGTTCTGAGAGTGCCATTAATGTTTTGTATGCTTGGACTATTGCAACACTTGACATTCTTTGACTCAAGACCAAGAAAAACTCATAAAGGAAATCATTGTTTGTACACTGCAAAAACTAAGCCTAAAAAAACAAGTAAAATAAATAATAAAATGAGTAATATATTACTTAATATAAGAAAAATTATCTGCCAACAGAACAAGAAAAATTCACTTGCCAAGACCTTCTTAAAACAAGTAAATATATCTAGCCTAAAAATATCTACATATATCTTAAAACGAGTGTTTTTAAACCAAAAATAAGTACATTTGAATTGATGCAAGGAAGGAATATAATCTTATTATAAGGAAAATGTGCTTGAATTCAGCATATTCTACTGCTATTGTCCCAAAATTCTATTTTATGTTAGGCAACATTTCTTAAATCCAGTGCAGCTTCACTTTAAACAGGTATATTTGTCTAGATACAAGATAAGATTTAAGAATTATTTTCTTAATATGTAGAAAAATCTACTTAAATTCAGCATTCGGTGCTATTCTTAAAATAAGGCTAAATACCAAGAAACGTAGAGACAAAACCTTCAAAAATCTTTAATCCTATCAAGATATAAACTTTGACTGCTTGCTTAAAGAAAAATGAGTCTCAAATGATTTCTTTTAATGTTTTTATTGTTTTCAAACTGCGTAGTAAAGGTCAGTCATCAGATATGTCTTTAGAAAAAAAGAGAACATTCTTTCACTGTAAAATACAACACAAGTGAAATTCTCATGACACTTTTGACTCAGCGAACAATTTTCAATAGGACTATAAGTATGAGGGGCCGCTAGGGACATTATTCAGAAATACCGTTTACTTACACATGTGAAACACTCTCACACACACACAACTGAAACCAAAATAATTTACAAACATATCTAAAAATCTCTCATATACACATATGAAACGCTCTCACACACATGAAATCCAAAGTTATTCACACACACATGTGAAACGCACGCACTCACACCTGAAACGCTCTCACACACACATGAAATGCACTCACACCTGAAACTCTCTCACACACGAAACGCTCTCCCACAGATATGAAACGCTCTCACACACATGAAATGCACTCATATACACATGAAATGCAATTTCAGTATGTTGTGTGAGAGGGATTTCAGTTGAATCTGAAGGCATCTCGGTTGAAAAGGAAGTCGTTTAAAAAAAAAAAACTGCGAAGAAGCGCACATTTCTAAAAGGCGAGATGCCTTCCGTTTCAACTGAAATCCCTCTCACACAACATATTGAAATCGCATTTAATGTGTATATGAGTGCGTTTCATGTGTGTGTGTGTGTGAGGGCGTTTCAGGTGTATGCGAGTGCGTTTCAGGTGTGTGTGTGAGTACGTTTCACGTGTGTGAGTGCGTTTCATATGTGAATAACTTTGGATGTCATGTGTGTGAGAGCGTTTCATATGTGTATATGAGAGATTTTTACATATGTTTGTAAATTATTTTGGTTTCAGTTGTGTGTGTGAGAGTGTTTCACATGTGTAAGTGAACGGTATTTCTGAATATTGTCCCTAGCGGCCCCTCATATATAAGTGCCCTAATCACTTATGAACTTTTTCCAGTCGGCCATAGCCTTTTTGTATGAAGTAGTCATGTCACAGTCGTGAATGGCGTCCAAGAGGACTTCTGTCTGCACCACAGACAGGAGTGTTGCAATGCACTTAGGATAGGTGAGGTGAAAGGTGTAATAACATGCCATGAGATACATCACGCTTTCATGAATGTCCTCTTTTGGGAAGATGAGCACGGGCATGGTTCCAATGGCCAGTATACAGTTGGTTTCGCAGATGATGACAACAGGGCTGGAAAGTGGTCGTGTCTGAAGAAAGGTGTTTGGGTCTTCTGCAGACTGACACAAAAACAGACAAAGAAATCGTCACAAAAAGGGAAACAAATATGATCACAACATTTCACTCTTTGTATCGACATGAGAAAATTCTTATACATTTTCTTACCTCAAGGACGTGGAGCAGAGCCTCACTTGCGTGCCTTAACTTCTTGGGTGGGGCCATAGGTGATGGGAACATCTCTGGTAAAGCCTTCATCATGGCAATTGAGTGCTTTACTGTTGAAAAAAAAAGTGTCATTCCGTTTCCTGCAGTCAGTTAATAAACAGACATGGTCAGAGATAATAATCACCTTTGTCAAGCTGCGGAGGCCTCATGAGCTTTTTGAAAACTCCATAAAACTGTGCCCTCTCACAAAAGGTCCCCCACCGGGTCTTAAGTTCCGTTAAGAAGTGGGAGTTGCCTTGATTGAGGACCCGCCGTAGTTCATCCATTAGCTAAAACAACGAGAGAGAAAATATGTAGAAGAAATATTAAAATCTACATTCCAAGGGTTAGTAATTCGTCTGATAACTGAATTTCCAAAAAAAGATTAATATGTGTATAATGTGATTTAAATGGTCACTTAACAAAAATATGCACATAGAAACATGTGTTTTTTCTGCAAATGTATGTCTTATGCACACACTATTTTTAAATACGTATTGTGGACCAATAATACTAACAAAATAATGTTGTGTGTATCAGAAGCACATTTGTGAAATTAGTTATTTTTAAATAAGTGGAGGGTTTTTATATATCTATGCAGAATACATATTTGTATTCAATAAGCATATTTGAGTCATTCATTTATAAATAATGAGACAGATCTGATTTAATTGTCACACCATTTCTCATTTCAAATTTGGTCTAACGTTATCTGAATTAGGAAGCATAGTTGTACAACATCATCGGACCTGAGGCCGTATGTTTTGGACACTCGGGTAAAGAGAGGGGCGGAGTTGTCAACTGATCACCATCTGGTGGTGAGTTGGGTCGAGTGGCGGGGGAAGCCTCTGGATAGACCTGGTAAGCCCAAACGTGTAGTTCGGGTGAACTGTGAACGTCTGGAGGAGGCCCAAGTTCAGGAGGCCTTCAACTCACACCTCCGGCGGAGCTTTTCGGACATTCCTGTGGAGGTTGGGGACATTGAACCAGAGTGGTCGGTGTTCAAAGCCTCTATTGCCGAAGCTGCGGCGGGGAGCTGTGGTCTCAAGGTCCTAGGTGCCTCAAGGGGCGGTAACCCTCGAACCTCCTGGTGGACACCGGTGGTCAGGGAAGCCGTCCGACTGAAGAAGGAGGCCTTCAGGGATTTGTTATCCCGGGGGACTCCCGAGGCAGTTGCAAGGTACCGACAGGCCCGAAGGGCAGCAGCCTCATCCGTGGCCGAGGCAAAGCAGCGGGTGTGGGAGAAGTTCGGAGAAGACATGGAGAAGGACTTTCGGGCGGCACCAAAGTTGTTCTGGAAAACTGTCCGACACCTCAGGAGGGGGAAGCAGGGAACCATCCAAGCTGTGTACAGTAAGGATGGGACGTTGTTGACCTCAACTGATGGAGTGTTAGGGCGTTGGAAGGAACACTTTGAGGAACTCCTGAACCCGACAACTCCGCCCTCTATGTTAGAGGCAGAGCTGGAGTATGACGGGGGATCAACACCAATCTCCCGGGGGGAGGTCACTGAGGTCGTCAAACAACTCCACAGTGGCAAAGCCCCGGGGGTGGATGAGATCCGCCCGGAAATGCTGAAGGCTCTGGGTGTTGAGGGACTGTCATGGTTGACACGTCTCATCAACGTTGCGTGGAAGTCGGAAACAGTACCGAAGGAGTGGCAGACCGGGGTGGTGGTCCCCCTTTTTAAAAAGGGGGATCAGAGGGTGTGTGCCAATTACAGAGGCATCACACTACTCAGCCTCCCCGGGAAAGTTTACTCTAAGGTACTCGAAAGGAGGGTCAGGCCGATTGTCGAACCTCAGATTGAGGAGGAACAATGCGGATTCCGTCCTGGTCGTGGAACGACGGATCAGCTTTTTACTCTCGCAAGGATCCTGGAGGGGGCCTGGGAGTACGCTTATCCGGTCTACATGTGTTTTGTGGACTTGGAGAAGGCGTATGACCGAGTTCCCAGGGAGTTACTGTGGGAGGTGCTGCGGGAGTATGGGGTGAGGGGGTCTCTACTCAGGGCCATCCAATCTCTGTACTCCCAAAGCGAGAGCTGTGTCCGGGTCCTCGGCAGTAAGTCGGACCCATTTCCGGTGAGGGTTGGCCTCCGTCAGGGCTGCGCTTTGTCACCAATCCTGTTTGTAATATACATGGATCGGATTTCGAGGCGTAGTCATGGGGGAGGGGGTCTGCAGTTCGGTGGACTAAGGATTGCACCACTGCTTTTTGCAGATGATGTGGTTCTAATGGCTTCATCGGTCTGCGACCTTCAGCACTCACTGGATCGGTTCGCAACCGAGTGTGAAGCGGCTGGGATGAGGATCAGCACCTCCAAATCTGAGGCCATGGTTCTCAGCAGGAAACCGATGGACTGTCCACTTCAAGTAGGGAATGAGTCCTTACCCCAAGTGAAGGAGTTCAAGTATCTCGGGGTCTTGTTCTCGAGTGAGGGAACAATGGAGCGTGAGATGGGCCGGAGAATCGGAGCAGCGGGAGCGGTACTGCAGTCGCTTTACCGCACCGTTGTGACGAAAAGGGAGCTGAGCCAGAAGGCAAAGCTCTCTGTCTACCGGGCCATTTTCGTTCCTACCCTCACCTATGGTCATGAAGGATGGGTCATGACCGAAAGAACGAGATCGCGGATACAAGCGGCCGAGATGGGTTTTCTCCGCAGGGTGGCTGGTGTCTCCCTTAGGGATAAGGTGAGAAGTTCGGTCATCAGGGAGGGACTCGGAGTTGAGCCGCTCCTCCTTCGCGTCGAAAGGAGCCAGTTGAGGTGGTTCGGGCACCTAGTTAGGATGCCACCTGGGCGCCTCCCTAGGGAGGTGTTCCAGGCACGTCCAGCTGGGAAGAGACCAAGGGGTAGACCTAGGACCAGGTGGAGGGATTATATCTCTTCGCTGGCCTGGGAGCGCCTTGGGATCCCCCAGTCAGAGCTGGTTGATGTCGCCAGGGAAAAGAAAGTTTGGGGCTCTCTGCTGGAACTGCTACCCCCGCGACCCGACCACGGATAAGCGGAAGAAGATGGATGGATGGATGGAGTTGTACAACATTTGCTTACATGATCCAGTTCTCCAAAGCAAGGATAAGCTTTAAGAATCTTGGAAGGCCTGTCCTGCTCCTTTGTAACATCAGAGTCAATGAAGGCCCTTCTCGCTTGGATTTCGAGGTCCAGGAGCTGAGCAACATCCATCTTGTTCGGTCTGGCCTTAGTTTTATACATCGCCTGTAGAGTCTTATAGTGTCTCGCCTGGGTCTGTGGGCTCTCAGTTTCTGATGCTAGAAAACATAAACCCCACTATTTTCATTTCTGATGTTAAAGTTGAAATGAGACATTAACACACAAACAGCCATAGTGACTGACACAGGGCAAACATAGATGAGTAATCTTGAATAAAAAAGGGTTCTAAAATAACTTATTGATATTATAAAATTTTCTTGAAGAGATTTAACTATCTACTATTTCAATTGATGTACTTACCACATAACTGTTCAGCCTCCGGGGTGCTGCATCGAGATGGTGGTGATCTCTCCAAGATCAAGGTTGATGCGGTGGATTCATCAGTCTCATCAGTGGACGTCTCATGGCTGCTCTGAAAGCTTAAACTCCTAGGCCTCTTTCTTGAAGGAGTTGAACCCTGCTTCTTTTTGGGGGTTGTCACATTCTGGACCCTTTTCAAAAGCTGCTTTTTTACAGTTTCCTTACAAGACAGACATACAACAGGTTCTGTTATAACTCACATAAAACAAACTTGTATCAAACAAAATACACCATACAAGCAGTTGCACAGAGCTCTTATTGAACTGGATAAAACACATCACTCCCAGTTTGATAGGCAAATGATTGCAGTGCTTTGTCTGAACCATGAGTTGAAAACTTGAATAGTGACATACCCACTCAGCTCTACTGGTTTGAGATCTGTCCCGAAGCATTGGGTAGTACTCAATCAGACGCTTCGCCATTACAGTGAGTTCACGGCTGCATGGATAGTTAAAGTCATCCCCAGCTGCTCTTTTAATGGAAAGCATGCTTGTGACTGTATTCCTGATTAATCGACAGCGAAGATCTTTGGAAAGGACGTAGTCTCCTTCTTCTCCAGCACGCTGCTTTTCAGAAAAGGTGCTTCGTGATTGCTCCAATTCTGTGTCTGTGTATAAAACATACAGTGGACTGGGAAGCTGTACGGTTCTGCTGGCACCATGTTGGGGTTGTGGGCTTTGAGAGGAGAAGGAGGGTGGAGAAAAGACGGGGGATGGAGAGGGGTTGGGGCAGGAGGAGGAAGAGGAGGGAAACAAGGAAGGTTGGGGGGTAGGAATAGGGCTGAAATCACAAGTCCCATGGGAGGTACTCGGTCTACACAGGTCTGTCTCCTGGCCCTGTATAAAAGATGCATATATATATATAAAATGGTATTTACAATGAAAAGAGCACTACGCTGTGACAACAACAAAAATCAACACAACCAAAAAACTCCACTTCAAATAACTGCATGATGACTAGGAAAGGCTTACTTGGTAACAGGTTTAAAGTCCCTCAAATGTTAGAATCTGGAATTACCTCATTTTCATCATGATTGAGTCTCCAAATGGTTCTTCTTCTTCTGAAGTGCTCAGGCCCGGGAAGGAGATCACGCAAGTCCTCCTTAGAGAGGCTGGGCAGCATGTCTCTGCTTATATTAGCAGCTGAAAACACATTTAACCACACAGTTAATAATAAGGTAAAAAGCAACTAATAACATATTTATCTAAATACATAAAATGAAAGAGTAATGTACATTTCTGGCTGGCTTCACAAGATTTTCTTTAACATTAAAAAATGTATTGCACTTACTTATAATTGATTGAAAAAATTGCTGTTACAATAGGTTCATCCAGAGTTAAAGTTATTTTGGCCAAATGAAAATGCACCAGGGAAATGAATAAACGAGGCATGTTGTTAGGATAAATCCATAACACAAATGTGTAAAATCTCATAGGCTATAAAAGTTATACATTTTCAGCATCTTTTATAGTACAATAAAACAAATCTTGATGTTTAAGAGCAAACACAGTTAAACTTATTTTCAAAACAGTGTCTTTACCTTGAAATCTTTATTCAAATAAGCATAATTTACGTCCCAAGCCTGCTTATATCCAAAGGACAGTGTAGTTTCAATAGCCTGCACTGCACTATCATACAACAACGCATTTGTAAATGCTGTCTACAACAAAGAAGGGCGCCAAAGATGGCTATGCTAGTGTACAACAAAGAAGGGCGCCAAAGATGGCTATGCTAGTGTACAACAAAGAAGGGCGCTAAAGATGGCTATGCTAGTGTACAACAAAGAAGGGCGCCAAAGATGGCTATGCTAGTGTACAACAAAGAAGGGCGCCAAAGATGGCTATGCTAGTGTACAACAAAGAAGGGCGCCAAAGATGGCTATGCTAAATACTTTACTGTCAGTTGTGGAAGGCTGATTTGCTTCTTGACATTATTTCTGGCAATAAAACAGTATCAACTAAAATGTTAACCACGATTTGTCGATTGTGCCGTTATTAACAGCTTACAGTAGATATTAGCTAAGTTAACTAGATATGTAGCCAGCCTAGCTAAGTCCAACCGATTCAAATAATGTAAAGCTTGCTGGAGAGGTGCAGTATAAAATACAAAATTACATTACCTTTTAATGCTGCAGTTGCTATAGGATCCAAGCATGTGATATCTCTTCCATTTTCATCCATGGCGTAGTTTTAATGTTCAATCACTTGCAGAGGTTCAGTCTTCTGCCTGAAGGAAAGCTAGCCAGCAACGTCCTGAAGCTAGGTGCACCTGACCTAACACACGCCCTTAACGGACCCTCTTCGCGGTTCCCATTGGAAGGTACCATTTCTTAAAGAGGGGTGACAGAGATATTTTATATGTTGCAAATATTAGGAATATTAATAACTGATGCGGTCATAGGTAACATTTCAAACATCTGTTTCTAGATGCACATCATTCCACAAGTTATTCCCAGGCATTATTATGACGTGTATATATATATATAGGAAGACGACTCACCGGCCTCCCCCATACAGCTAGAGAATGTGATAAACCCACTTCATTAGTTATTTTCCCCAACGTGTACATGGCCTGCTGCAGAAACGTTTTAATATAGTTAACTTTTGGAAGATTTCACGATGCTTTGGCGGTGCGTTATCTGCTGCGTTTTTATAACTTTTTCACTGAAATTATTATTGAGCCATATTAATCGACTGCACAGTCGCAACTCTGACTTCAGGTTGCTCTGTGGCATTGATGGATGCACTGAGGAATATAGAGTGTACAACTCATTCTACCATCATGTAAAGAGAAGACACTTTCAACATCTTCTTGAAGACACCAGACCTGGCGACGCCACACGTGGAGATGAAAACCGACAGGAGGAAACCCAAGGACCGCAGCAAAAAGTAAGTAACGTCTGCTAATTCAGCTAAGATTGTTAGCTACAGTGTTTGGGCCACGTGGCCACTCGGATACAGGGTTAGTTTCGTACATTTTGTGATGCTACAGATAGCGTTAGCCAATACTGATCAGCCACATTTAGTTATTATAAATCCATTAGCATTAACTAATGAATCTGCTAGGCTACAAGCAGGCGGCATCTGTCAACCATATATTTTTAATTCAGCAGTTAGCTATGTAGTGTTTTTGTGGGGATGAAAAAACCGTTAAAAATATGCATTACGTTGGTGTTCGGCCACAGTTACTAAAACAGTAAATCACAAAAATTATGGTTTTCCACTTTTTCACTCTGCAATATTCTGCAAGGTGCATGCATCACTGTCAGGATCTGCACATGATTTGTTGAATTCACAGTTTTAGCAAATCAGAAATAAATCTCAAATTCTTTACCCACTATTAAACTTAAAACAAAAATAAATAGATTTTCAGATTTGATTAGAAAAAAAAGTTTCATGGTTTTGTTTTCTGGACTGAAAAAATGTAATAAAGAGTGTTACCCAGACAATGGATAAAGTGCTACGGCTTACAGTTAATAACTGTTGCTGAAATAACTCTTACCCCCAAAGTTTGTTTAATGTGAAAATAATCTTAGATAGAAAGGAATTACATATTTAAATTGCTCTTTTAGTGAAGCTAATTTTTTACAATTTCAAACAATCTTGTTTCTTTGATATGTTGTACACAGGACAACATTCAACCCGATCAGCTTCCAGCCGACTCCAGCAGCAAGGATCAGAACCTTCACACACCTGACTCAGTTGAAGAGCAAATGGGCATCGACCAAGATGGAGCTGTCACAGTGCACCAAGTATGTTTTCTTTGTTGTTGACTATCTACTGAAAATTAAGGGCTGCTAAATAAAGGTCAGGCCGATATAGTAGTGGCTAATATTGGCCTAGCATATCATTTATATATCAATATTATGTTGAAATATTTCATTTAAATTCACCAAATGATTCATAAAACCTAGAGGTATATGTGAAGATGTATTTCTATGTGCTGTACTAGCAAAACTAAATGAACACATAAAGAGTTAGAATGGCTTATTGTCTTGTTGGAGTACTAATGTTTGATATGTTTTGGTCAGAGTTACAAAATATTAAATTATCTATCTTTGCTCACCACATGTCACCAGTTTTTTATCATCAGATGTGCATACATTTAAAGATTATATATTTCTGTCACATTGAGTAATGTTATACCTGCAAATGTCAAGTTACTACATTTTGTATTGTAGGATCTGACAACACATGCCACTGCCTTTGTTATCAATGCCCGATCCAAGCATCGTCTGTCACAGGTAAAATGCTTCCAATGTAACCTTTTTGGACTAAAAGCATTATGCCATGTGTGATCTGCTTCTCAGAACATATTAACAGGAAATATTTTGTGTGCGACAAAGAAATGCAAATGAGCATTTATTATCCAGAAATTCAAGCCATTCACTCTGACTAACCCAGTAAGGGATTTCCCATATTTTATTACAATTTATAACCAGACACAGTGTAGCCATATATTAAGTTAGACCTAGTTGTTCTTTGAGAACAGAGCACAGTATTTGGCTACCTACTGTACACAGTTAGCAGTTAATAGTGGTTCACTGATGGCCGAGTTCAGTTTTAGTGCTTTGTTATCCACTTTACTGTTGTGTCTATGTCATAAGCAAAACTGTATATCACATAAAGCTACAGTGATCATGATAATGTTTACCAACATCAAAGATTGATCACATCACTTTCAATCTCTCATTTTCAGAAAGGCATGAATGACATTGTTGCTGGGGTACAGCAGTATCAATCATCACTATTGGACAACCTCAGGACGCAGATGAAGGAAGTTCTAAAGAAGAATTCAGGAAGTACAACCAATCAACTTGGAAAAGATGCAATGGATATATTTGACAGTTTCATTGACCCCTTTGCTAACGTTTCAACAACATTTCGCCAGAACAGTGTTATTAGGAAGCAGTTTTGTTGTGTGGATGCAGAGGAAATTCCAATTGCTCGAACCATATGCAGGAAGAAACGTGGAGGATCAACAGATTTTGTCATCAAAGACAAATTATTTTATTATGTACCATTAGTCAAAAGTGTAGAGCAGTTCCTATTACATCCGAGGATTTTGACTATGATTGAAGAGGTACCCCAGAGGTGCAGTGAAGGTTTTCTTCATGACCTTGTTGATGGTTCTCTTTTAAAATCTCATCCCTTATTTTCAGAGAAACCAAATGCACTGCAGATCATTCTGTATACAGACGAAATAGAGATCTGTAATCCACTAGGATCCTTTTCATCAAAGAACAAGTTGTTAATGGTGTACTACACCCTAGGAAATATAAATCCAAAATACAGGTCTAAGCTGGCTGCTATTAGGCTACTTGCGATGGCTAAATCAGCAGACCTCCGTCAATCTGGTGTAGATGTAATATTGAATAGAATAAAGGAAGACATGGATGCATTGTACAGTGGTGTTAAAATTCAAACTATTAACGGGGAGAAAACAATACATGGTGCTATGGTTTCTCTCTGTGGTGACACCCTGGCACAGCATGAACTCGCAGGGTTCAAAGAAGGAGTGGGCTTTGCTTACAGTAAGTGCAGACACTGTGAGTGTTCTTTTGAGGACATGCAGTCACAATTCAACGAGGATGCATATATTAAAAGAACATTGGAGAATCATGTCAGACAGTGTGATGAAATAGAAAAGGCTAACACAGACTTGCTTCGCAACAGCCTTAGAACAACATATGGGATCAATCGAAGGAGCAAGTTAGTTGACTTCCCATCCTTTGATATTATTCGGCAAACCCCGCAAGACATTATGCATGTCATTCTTGAGGGTATAGCTCCTCTGGAAATTAAATGTGTTTTGAATCATCTTGTTCAGTCAGGAGAGTTCAATCTGGACTCTGTGAATTCAGCTATTCTTGGTTTCCCTTATTCGCCTCTAGATCTTAGAGATCGACCTTCCCCAATTTCTCCGAGTACACTGATGTCAACTGATGGTAAACTAAGGCAGTCATCAGGGCAAATGCTTGTCCTGTTGAGGATATTGCCATTTGTTTTGGAACATTTGAAAGTCAATGCATATGTGCAGTTGATAATGGACTTAATAGAGATTGTTCAAATAGTGTTTGCACCTGTTCTTACCATTGCAACTGTGTCAAGGTTAAAGTTACTGATTGAAAGTCATTTGAAGCATTGGAAGGAGCTTTTTCCAGACCACAATGTTACACCTAAGCAGCATTACATGATACATTTGCCATCACAGATAGAATCATTGGGTCCCATGGTCAGACATATGTGTATGCGGTTCGAGTCTAAGCATTGTTTATTTAAGCAATGGGCCTCCAAGCTCAATTTTAAAAATGTATGCAAGTCTTTGATTAATCAGAACCAAATATATGAAAGCTGCCAAAATGTTGACCCTTCCAAGCACCCAATTTTTTCAAATGAAAAGGAGATGGGTCCTGTATCTGAGGTTAGAGATCTACAATATTTACATGGGAAATTGAGGGACTTCCTAGGTTTCAGTGAAATTAACCACGCTGTATCAGTGAAATGGCTTGTGATAAATGGTAATAAATACATTACTGAGAAGTCCTTGATCCTTGCCAATGTACTAAATGGTAATACACCCGAATTTGGACTTGTCAAAAGCATATTTCTTGTTGATTCTAAGCTTTATTGTTTGGAATATCAGCCTTTTCAGTCCATATGCTTTGATAGAAATGTTATGGCTTATCAAGTTGAGGTCCCACACCTTGCACAGGCCACTGAGTTAGTGGATGCTGAAAAGCTGGTTGATTTGACCTCTTATTACACAATCAGCAGAAAGGGCCAAACCTATGTACAAGTGAAATACTATCTTGGGGATGTAATGGAATTACACAACAGTTCAAATGACTCATAGCGTGTTCCTTTGATATGATGTTGAAACATTTAAAGCAAACTTAGCAGGTTTAAATGTAGGACTAAGGTCCTGACTTAGGATATGTTATTAGCAGATTCAAATGTTAGCTGTTTGGATTCCAGATGCGTTTTGCATTATAGTTTGCAGTGTACCTAAATAATCTGTATCTTTGTATAATACTGGGTCTTTCTTTCAGGTTGTTTTAAATGTTAATTACATAACATGTTATCAGCCATTTAGGTGTTTATCACAATGCTGTTTATGTTTGCTAAATGCCCTTGTCCTGAATAATGTAACCTACTTTAACTTTTCAAATGAGATGTTTGCACATATTGCTCAATCACTTTAGCTTGCTGAAGAATAATACATGCTGAAAAGAATGTTCTTAATGCAGTAGTTTGACTTGGCTGGTGCTGTTATTTCTGTATACTGCATTTCATATATGGACATACTTAATTGATGTACTGGGTTTTAGAGCGACAATAAAACAATGAATTTCATTTGGTCCTTATCTGTTTTTAATATGTTAAGAGATGAAAAAGGATAGGATGCTTGCAATAAGATATTCTGACTTTGAAAAAGCAGTTTTCTACTTATCAGTGTTGATCTAATATCTTTAGAATTATGGTATTTCTCAATTTAAACATTAATTTACTCAGAATCAGTATTAAAATCTCAAAAACAAGTAATAAAACCTCATTAAGATAATGAAGTAAAAAAACACTTAATGGAAGTGAAATTCACTACCGCAAAAACTTCTTTGTAAGAGGAAATATCTTGGCAGACAAAATATAAGCATATTTTGTCTTGATTTAAGATATTTC